TAGGGTTTAGGGTTTGGGGTTACCTTATGGGATCCTAATTATGAAATTGGTTAAACTGAAAAAAGGAGCTACAATAGAGACTATAGGTAGGGCTTCAAAAGGTTCGGGACTGAACCTCTTTCGGGCTTTCTAGCAGCCCACGATCCATCCCTGAAGCCTTAGCCCTAAACATGGGCGCATGAGAAGCCATGGCTTCCACGATGCTTCAGGCATATTTACCGAGAAGACGGCAAGAGTTACCTTCCACAAAAACCCGACTTTCCCGGAAACGGTGGCGAAGAGCCGATTCACACGACCCTGTCGTGACGACGGCTATAGCACCGGCGGATATTCTTGCTGCGTCTGGTAGTTTCGCAGCCCTGCTCTCTCCTATTGTCCTCATGAGTGAGAAACCGATGGGTGGTTGTCACAATTATGGTCCCGTTTTGGGTCCTTAGTAGAATACGGCACCTATTATTTAGAGTACCCCAAAAGGGACCATAATTTTGACAACTACCCCGATGGTTCTGCATCCAAGACCCCAGACCCGCCACACCCTGATCGGATACCCTAAACGCTAAACCCTAAACCCCAAGCCATAAACCCTAAACCCAAAGGCGTCCTCCACCAGCTTCAGCCGCTCGGCGCGTCCGGCATCACCGGCTGTTGACGGCAGCGCAGCAAGCATGGCTTCCTAAGAACGCATTCAGCTAAGGACTTCAGGGCGTTAGGGAGTTAGAGGGCTTGGTTGTTGAATTGAGGGTTTAGTGCTTTAGGGTTGATCATGTGGGGTTTAGGGTTTAAGGCTCTTTAGGGCATCGAGGGCCTTGGGTTTAGAGCGCTGCATGCACAGGCAGTGCTGCTCATGGGTTCTGGATGTGGGGCCGGTAGAGGGGATGGGGTCCCTTCGGATCCAGTGTTGGTGCCGGAAGGCCAAGACAACCCGAAACCCTGAACCCTAAACCCTGAACTATAAACCCTAAACCCTAAACTCTAAACCCTAAACCCTAAACCCTAAACTCTAAACCCTAAACCCTAAACCCTGAACCCTGAACCCTTAAACGTTGAACAGGCTGGCGGAGTTTGCTAGGCCGATGAACGCCTCAGGGTGCAAAGTACCTCAGGCAGTGAAAGATCAGCAAGGGTTCCAACAACGATGATGTTAAGCCTTCTCCAGCTCTACCTTGCTAGTAAAACTGTCGGCATATTGCGATCAACCTTCATATCTGGACCGCGAAATCCTCAAGCCTACTCTGATCCACACGATATCGCCGAAAGTGCTTCAGCCTACGTGCCCTAAAACCCCAGGCCTCAAGCCCTACCAAGACAATCATGCAACGGTGCAGACCTAAACACACGAGCCCGGAGCAACCCCTACAACATCTTACACATGAATCGCAGCACACCTAACCCCTCAAACCACATCACCTAATTTACCCTAACCCCCCAGGTACCTACTATATAGGGCCCTAGGGCTCTAGTACCCTATATAGTAGGTACCTGGGGGGTTAGGCTAATTTCAACAGCCCCCCAAAGGGTTTGAATGCAGATTTTAAACCCTAAACCCTAAACCCGAAACCTTGAAGCTCTGAGCCCCAAACTGCCCTAGAGCTCGGTACCGAAGCATAGAACCCGAGCTCCCAAGGAATTTTAACCCCTGGAGCCAGCCCTAACCTGAAGCCCCATAGGGTTTAGGGTTTAGGGTTTAGGGCAAAGACCAAAATCCCATGAAGCCCCAAGCAAGAAGAGGCCGAAGCCCCAAACCCTCTTTTGGCTCCCCTCCCCTTTCTGCCGCCCAAGCTCAGCTACCAAGCCTCTGACAACGGAGTTTAGGGCTCCGGGTACAGGGTTCAAGGTTTAAGTTGAGGGTTCAGGGCTTTGGGGTTTGGGGTTGAGGCTTCAGGATGTGAACGGATCCTTGCTTCAGGGATCCGCCTCAACCCTAAACCCGAGCAAGCGATAACTCAATTTCAATTGAAGGCTACAACTACCCTCGGCGTGGTTCAGGGAGTTTAGGGCGTGAGGTTTCGGGCTTGGGGGTCTACCTATAGTCCCCATTGTAGTTCCTTTTTGGGGTTACCTGATAGGATCCTAATTATGACATTGGTTAAACTAAAGAAGGAACTACAATAGAGACTATAGGTAGGGTTTAGGGTTTCGGGCTTGGGGTTTAGGGTTTAGGGAACTAAACCCTAAACCCTAAACCCTAAACCCAGTTTAGGGTGTTTAGAAGGGGGTGCAGAGAGCGGGAGGCCTTGCGGGGCCAGATTTCGAGTCTAGGGCGCGCAGGGCTTATCTTAAGACCCTAAACTCTAAACCCTAAACCCTTAAGGCCCTAAACTCTAAACCCTAAACCCTTAAGGCCCTAAACTCTAAACCCTAAACCCTAAACCCTTAAGGCCCTAAACTCTAAGCCCCAAACCCTAAACCCTTAAGACCCTAAGCTCTAAACCCCAAACCCTAAACCCTTAAGACCCTAAACTACTAAGCCCTATTAAGTTGGGGGGGGGTTCTTGGCCCAGGATCTAAGCTTCCTCAAGCTAGACATGCGGCATGAAAGCATGATTTGAGGAACCCTCCTTGGACACAATGTCGCTTCTATTAAGTATGAGTTGAAGGACTCTTCCGTAC